GTCTCAGCTACTGTCATGACTCAGAGAACCAAAGCACAATGTCAGTGTCCAGTGCTGGATTTTCCCCAGGTGCTAAATCCAAGAGAATGACCAAATTCTGCTAAAAGCTTTTGGGTAAGGCAGGGGTTTGGTAAACTTGTAGAGCAACAGTGAAGGTATGCACAGCTGGCCTCATAGCTTCTAAATGGAGGGCATACTCTGTGTCATGTATTTAGCTCAGAACCACATGGGTGATGAAAAAATGTTAGGATAAATTTTACTCTTATAGAAATGAAATATCAGAAAGTGTTCAACTTTTATGATCCCTGGTGGCATTGATATTACTGGAGAGGTATTTTTCTCAATAACCATGTAATGCTTCATCTTAATTCTCATGAACATTGGGTTTCCCAAGACTGTTCTCTTTGTGTTTGCCATTTGTATTCAGTCATGTGATTTCATGGCTGCTTCTTCACCATTCACAGTACATGTCTAGGTGACCCCAGGTGTTCCCTCATCAGTAAAGATAGTCTCACATCTCCAGAAACTATACCTTTCCATTATTTAACACCTTCAAAATCTGCTTTATTAAATTTCATCTACACAGCAATTCTTTCTGACATGGAACTCTTCCCTTCTACTACAACAATATCAGCACTTGGGATCAAAGATGCCATTTACTCATGTGCAGTATCCCTTACATCATGGATTTAACTTCCTCTAGAAACTAGTACTAAGTAGAAAGTTGTTGAGTGCACAAATGTGATTTTTTTTTCTTATTGGAAATGCATTAGTTGAAACACTCAGTTGGATGTTGAGAAGGGAATTAAAAAACATTTTTCATGTAAATTGTAGAATAATGACAATTTATTGTACTGAACAAAGCAGGATGGAAAGACCCTATAGTAGGCGGTGCTTTGTGATGAAGGGAAGAATTAGTTGCGAGGCAGTGGAGGGGCTCATATCTGGCCTCATACAGCCATCAGATGTCATGGGCACATGTTCAAATTATAATGATTTTTCTTAAGCTTTGACTAGGATGAACTCCTGATGGTTAATATTTGGGTATTTTCATAGAATAAGTGGAATAAAGTTTGAAAATAATTTCTTCCCAAACATAAATAAATAGCTGGCATACATTCGAATTAAAATATGTCATAAGTCCTTGCCTGTAATTCTAACTCTTTGGGAAATTTAGATGGGAGGAGGATTGTAGTATAAGATCAGCCCAGGCAAATAGTTTTCAAGACACCACTTCAACCAATAGCTGAGTACACTGGCACACCCCATCATTCCAAGCTACTTTTGAGATTTTAATTGGGAGGTTAATGATTTCACAATGAAGAGGAAGATAGCCTTGAAACAGGGTCATAAAACATGGTAAACTGTCAATTAAAAGCTGTAACCTCAGACAGAACTGTAAAGCAGGAGGAATTGCCCATTAGAGCCATGCAAAAGTTTAGGACCCAGATGAAAGGCGCCATGCTGAGATAATCACCCATTCCTGCCTTTCTTTGTCTATACTTGTAAATAAACTTTCCAAAGCAGGCCTCCCCTGCTGTTCTTATCTAAACAACATTAGGTCCCTAGTTCACTACCAGCCCAATTAACCTAAACAATCTAACTCACTGGTTAGAACACCATAACCTGAGCACATTTTTGTAACCTGATGCCCTGCACTACCTTTTAAATATCTTGTGAATCCTTTGTTCAGTGCTCAAGACACAGGTACATGTCTGAGCCCATTGGCATAAAAATAAAATCTGAGTTCTCCACTCCTCCAAGTGTTGTTTGGTTTCTTGTCTGACCATACTTCCACAACAACACCAACTCATAATTAAAAAACATTTGTAAGACACCATATGAACAGAAAAACCTGGATGTGGTGGGTGTGTGTCTGCCATCTCAACTGTGGAATTTAAAACAGGAGGATTGACGTCCAGGCTGACATCAGAAAAAATAAGACCTTGTCTCCAAAATACCAGCCCAGGAAAGGCTGGAATAATGGTTTAAGCAGCAGAGAACCTGCCTTGCAAGTGCCAAGCCAGGAGTTCACATGCCAGTGCTGCCATAAAAATAGCCAGAGTAGAAATGGCTGGAGGCCTGCCCAAGCAGCACGGTGCCTACTAAGCAAGCCTGAAGCCCTGAGTTCAAACCTAAGTAAAAACAGAAAAAAGGAAAAAAAATTACAAAATGTGACCTTTTCTTATCCTTTCTTGTCATTTTGATTTAACAATCAAGGTACATACTATAATTGTTTTCAAATGATCCTCTCTAACTTAAGGTAGCCTATGGATAAAACTAATCCTTCTGTCTGTCTAAAACCACAGTGACTTACAATAAGCCTTATTATAGCATATTTTTTTCATTTGGGGATAATAATATGTCATATTGAAAAAAATGATTGAAACTGTTGTAAGTAGTGACAAAATGTGGTAAAAGTCATTCACATGTGATATACAGGTTATTTGGAATAACCTGTATTCCAAATGTGCAAGTGCACCAAAATTATAATTGAATGAATAAGTATACAATACAATAGAAGAAAAACTTATTAAAGATCTTAAGAGAAATATAATGGCCTGGAGAAATGGGAATTAAGAGTTAAAAGGTTAGATTTCATGCTGCAATTTGGGTTTGAGATGGATGAAGGAGGATCTATTTCAAGTGTCTTATAAGCAGTATAGGATGTTCATTTTAGGATGATGAAGGATCTACCATATTTCAAATGTAAGTCAAGACATAATATGAACTGTCCATTTAGTTCATCCACCTCACGTGCACTCCCACAGTCACTTTCCTTACTCACGAGTGACCTGGCACTTCAACTTTTGGTACAGGGAAACTTCTGGGGCAATTGTGGATTCTTGACTTCAGCATTACATCTTCAGCCCCAAGGTTTTCCTAGGACTGGCAAACGAGGATTCTGATTTCCTCCCTATATTCCAGCTGTGCACTCTCCCTGGGAAAGACTCCTTTCCAAAGAACTAGTGAGAGGTTTCTATTTCTGCTGCCATGAATTAGTTTTAATACATCACACTTTCAGTATCTCACACCTGTTGAATGCTCAGATGGTTGTTCCACTGGGTAAATGGCATCTTTGTGTTGACCTTTGTGTTCACAAATGTAAAGTTTAAGACACCTGCTTAGGTAGTAGGATCCATGTTCATCCTCCTTGAATCAATGTTTCTTCTGTCATGACAGCTCCACCTTGTTACATTAGAATGTTGTTTCATAACATTCTAATTTAATACGTTTTTGACCCCATTGAACATTTGTAGCCCCAATGAAGAAATTTACCATTTTTACCAAATAGTAAAGTACAGTTTTTGTCAATCATTAGGTAGAATAAAAGGAGTTTTTGTCTTCAATAATTGGCATTTATTTTGAAAAATATCTATGGATAAAGTTGCAATCAGACATGAAACGATGACTTAGGTTTCAGTTCTTCAGTTATAGGACAAACTTCGCTATAGTGGTTAGGTCATTGCTCCAACTGCATCTGCAAAAATCAGAAGAGCATGGCATTGCCCGTTCTTTCTGTTTAGCCAGGCCTAGCTAGTTTTTGTTCTGGGTTGTAGCACAGTGGGAGGAGTACTTCCCCTTTCCTGATGACAACAAATTGTGGCATCTTCAGTCTCTAGATTACTGATGGTGAGGGTAAAATTTGTCCCTCATCCACTGCTACTCCACCCCCAGGTCATCTCAGAGATGGACAGGGAGGCAAACTTAAGAAGGAGCTTTGGAACCTTACACAGTTTCTGTGCTAATGTCCTAAGCAGCCTACCTTGTAATGGTAGCTGTGTCCCCTCGGGTTACAGAAAGAATGGCTAGAGACTGGATCAGCCCAACATCACCTTGGAGACTGAAGTCACACATGAAACTTGAGCAGATAATTACTATGTGTTTTTGGAAATCAACACTGCCTACTTGGAGAGGAGTAACAAGTAGTTGTTTAAAAAATAGATTCTAATAGCAATACAGATTCATTTAGTATGGACTTTCACTAAAGAAAGGAAATTCGTAATTTAAATAACAACCCCACTTTTAGCTACCTTTGAATAGGAAGTTGTCTCAGATGCAACTTATATAACTAAAATGAAGCAGGAAAGTTTTCTGTTGATTCACTCATCCTTTTGTTCTACATTATTTAGTTTGGGCTTGTAACTGACATAATGCATCAGTAGGGCACATGAAAATTTGGAGAACCATTTTAAATAGATCTGTTGAAAGCATCAAATTTATGTATCATTGTGACTATGTGGTGGGGTCTTTGATTTATTGTCAGGTAGTTAAGATACTATCTGAAAATATTTTGTATTGACGAACACATTTTCTTTTGGTAAGATAACACTAATTCCTTATCTCAGAAGTAGTAGTTAGGATACAATCCTTAGGCTTTTAGAGAGAGAGAAATATCCCCATAATTTTGGGTTTATCTTATGTTACGTGTAGTGAACTTTGTGTTCTTCATCATTCAGTTCATGTTGTTTATTTTCAAAGCCCACTTTAATTATGCTAGGAACTCCCATGCAATCAGCAAACACTAAATGAGGCAAATCAAATATTTTTGGACACTTTCTATGAATTTATAAAAGTCAATTTAAGTACACAAAAAGTGTTATTAGTAATTACTTACATCATAACTTTACTGCAGGTAGGTTTTATAGAAGACTATTTCAATTATAAATGGTGACATTGGTATTAAATATTGTATAGGTAGAAAATTAGGAAGTTCTGAATATCAATAAATATGATCCTGTGAAAAATATACCCCAAATAGATAATATTCAACATATAACTTTTGTTGTAATCAATCCTCATTAACTATCTAGTTGTTATGCTGACTAAATATCTGTGACAAATGTGGCCAGTCAGGGAGGATTGCCATGAGCTGTTACTCAGCTCCCCCGTCATCATAACTGAGCACCTGGAGAGTGAGCTGTCACTCTCCCTACTGCTTTAGGCATCAAGGGCTGCTGCAGAAGATGAGTTCTTAACATTTAGTGCCTGCTTTGTAGTTACAGCAAACAGTAGAGGTAATAGAGGGGACAGAGAGCAAGCACCAATACCCTGGAGTTCTCCAGCATCTTCCTTTTCCAGAAGAGTCTGAGAGTCTGCTGTGCTGCTCCCTTGACAAGAAACACATGTGGCAGCTGGACCATGCCAAGCTGGGAAGTTTTTGTTCTGTAATGTATCACTGTGGGAGGGAGTTTTGTAGCTTGCATACAATAATAAACTCCAACATCCTCAGCCTCCACTCTGCTAATTTTGAGTGTGAAATCTGTTCCTGATCCACTGCCACTGAACCTGTCTGGGACCCCTGAAAACCTAGTGGAAACCTTATAGATCAGGAGCTGTGGGGACTGGCCTGGCTTCTGACGGAGCCAACTCAGATAGGTATTTCCATCACTATGCTGAATGCTCTTACTAGACTTACAAGAGATGGAGGCCTGCTCTCCAGGGGTGAGGGACAAAGAGAGAGGAGTCTGAGTCATGGTAACAACCCCACTGGATCCTGAAATGGAACAGAAGTATAAGGTTATGACCAAACATCCTAATACATTTTTTATGACTTTCCTTTGTTATTTCTTTCAGTTGATACATTTTTTGTGATTTTGATCCACACACCCAAGATAATTCAATTTTTAAAAGAACTTAACATGTGGGAAATACAAGGGCCTCTAAAATTGCATAATTCATCCCCCTGTTTCTGAGCCAGATTTTTCACCAGAGCACAGAATATTCTGTCTCGGGAATCTTCCTCACTTACAGATCTAAATTTCATATGCTTATATGGAGGTCAAAACCTGCACATACCTTTGTGAACAGAAACACATTGATAGAAGTCGGGCCAAGAGGTCACCTTCCCACCCCACCTACTTCTTCATCTCTCTCTGTTCTTACCAGGGATCCAGACCATTAGTAGTCCCAGGAGTTGAGCAGGGAACCTCATATTTAGTAATTGAACTTAGGAGTCCTTGTCAGTCCAGACAAAACTAGAGCTGAGCTTTTATGTCAGATTGGGAGGGAAGGTAGTACTGAGGGAGGAATATGCAAAATCCTAGTGGGTACAAAGTTGTGAGAAAATTGGCAGGGGAAGTAGCAAATGCAAAAACAGGAGGATGGCCTCTGTACTGTAGGCAAAGTAACATAAAATGTCTTCTGTGTTTCAGGGAATAGTAAGAGATATTAAATCTATGCTTTCCTTGCAGGGGAAGGAAATAGTGCTTTCTAGTTCTTCAGCACTTTCCAAGAAATATTTTATACTTTTTAAAATAAGAAATTGTTGTCATTATTCTTATTTCTTTCATAGATGTTTCAACAAGTATAATATTGTCTTTTCATTTTCTGAAATTAAGATTAAACATATGCAGTATGAAGAACAACAATATTAAATTTTCAATGAATAAGGTTATACATACTTTCACATTCATGATTCAGACAACCTATGGAATTCTATTTTGAGTTGTCCATGTGCCTCTTTCACACCCCTTCCCAGTCCATGGCAGCTGTTATAACCTACCAAGGTGATTGCCCTTCTGACAGCTGGTGAAATAGCTTGTTTTTTTCCTAGACTTCATGTAAGTTGAAAGAAGCACAGTTTTTCTTGTTTTTAGCTCCTTTCTTGTTTCTTAACTATTTTTTAGGACTTCATTTTTTCCTATGGATTCAGGTTTCTCCCTGCTTGTGCTGTGAAAGACTTCCTGCTGAATTTCTTATAATGTGTATCAGGATAACACAATTTCTCTCAGTTGTGTTTATAAAAACAGCTTTTTTTTTACTTTGTCTTTACTTTTGAAGTATATTGTCAGTGTGTACAGAATTCTTAGTTAACTTTTAACTTTGCATTTATCATTTATTTGTGTCACTCCACTAACTTCTGGTCTCATTTCTTTTATGATTAAAAATTAATCAACACAATTATTATTTTTTCTCTGCTCTATACTGGTATTCTTTTCTTAGAGGTTTTTTCTTTTCTATTGTATTGCATTTTGATATACCATAGAAAGACATAGAGTAATAAGAGTCTTAAAATGCATAAGTGTGTGCCAAAGAATGGGTGTGGATAAGTAATTGCAGCCTCAGATTCAATGAATCCATAATGTCCTCTATTATCTCTATCACCTTCTAATAACTGCAGGTGGAGTGATCCTGTCAGCCCTTGGATGACTCTGAAGAAGACCCTGGTTCAGATTATCAGGATGAAGAGTCTATTGCAAGGGAATCAATACTTACTTAACCATGGTGCTACGGGCTCCAGTTTTAGAGCCACTGTGACATGTACCACCTCTATAATACATGCTGGTGGCCCTTAGATTCTGAAGGTGCAGATTCTGTGAACTCTCCTCAATGAGATGCCTCATCAGGTTCCTCTGCATCCTGATGACCTGTCTTTCAGAGTAAGCATATTTTGTTCCAATATATTGAGATGACAGGTTAGACTTTGATTCAGAGATAATGTGCTCAAAATATGCTTTGCATATAAAAGTGTTATATATACATTAGTTTTTATAAGAAAATTTGAGGCATAGAGTCCAAGAATGACAATAAAGCACTAGTAACATTCCTGAAACTCTCCTGTGCCTACCTGAGGATAGAGGGCACTGAGTCCATTGCACCACCCCATGTCTTCCCAATCAATATTAGAATCTCATGGGGTCCCATTTGTTAACAATGCTGGTTCAGTCTGTGATCAGAAGACTTCCAATTTCATTACATCCCATCAGAAAGAATTCATGGCAAGACACGTGGGAGTAAACGGAATTTATTAAAAGTTAGGGGAGTGAAATACAAAGGGAAACATAGTAGGGCCCTAGTGGAAGCCAGAAGCCAAGACAGCATGTTTCTGCTTGTCAAGTGCTTTTAAAAGCTACAATAAGCTATGGTAAGAGGAGGTCCAGGTGAATCTCATTCAATAATCAATGAGTGGGGAGGGGCATGGACAGTTCCCGACCAGGTGAGGGTGGTTCCTGAGCCAAAGCATGATTACTCTAAGATGTAGTATTTTTTTCTATTAGTACTGACGTTTCTTTGCTTTAGCCTGCCTCAAATTCCCCCTGAGAAACAATATTCCAAAAAATTCTTTTTGGGAGTTGCTGAAATGTAGCAGTCCATCTTCAGAATCTGCTTCAAACTAACAAGGAGCAGCAGAAAGGGAAACCTTCCTATTTCTTGCACTTGGGACTCATTTGTATGCTAAGTGTCCATTACAATTAAGGTTCTTCATGCGGATCACATTCATTTGTAGAGATCAATAGCCCAGTTGTCTCATGATTTGGGTACTAAAGTCTTTCATTCTGAAAGAGATAAATTTAATTTAGATAGCATAACCTGTACATTAACAATGACAGGATCATCAGAAGGGGTCCTGTGAGGTATAGCATGAAGGATAAAGAATCTAATCTTTTCTTTTGGAAAATGATGGAAAGTCTTATGGTTACTTTGTCTATAGGTGTTTATTTCTGAATCTGTTTTTAACTCTTACATGGCCCTCTATTTTGGACTGTCACTATAGTGGGCAGTTAAGGGCTGACTACATTGGGGCCAGGTGTACCACAAAGCAGGTGTTAGGCCAATTAGAGAGTAAACATCCATGAATCAGTTTTTCACAGAAATGAGACTAACCATCCCTACACAGAAGGTAGATACCAATGAAAGTCATACTGCCTTTGCTTAAACATAAAGTCTTGACCAAGGATATGTTTGCCTTTTGCCAGAAGCCTGGAAGGTTTAAATATTACAGCACATGCATGAGAGTCCCCACTTAAAATCTCTCAGCTCTGTTTACTTTTAGAGGCCTGTCATAATTGACTCCATTTGCATCTGGAGAAGTCCCTTCATTTGCGTAGTCCTTTAGAACTGTATGGGTTTTTCCCAGAAATTCATATTTTGTCCCACAGAGGAGGGGGAGACGAGCAGATAGTGGTCAGTGCCAATGCAATATTTTTGGCTAAATTAAAGCAACAAAGAGATTTATTTCAAAAGTGGTGCTTAGGCTGGGCTTAATTAAATCTAATTCTCTGTCCCATAGGGGATGTACTGAAACTTTTAAATTGTTATAGATTGCCTGCAGGCAACAGTTATAAAGTTTGCAAGGAAAACACAAAATGATTACAATACTTACGAATGTCTGACCTGGTTGATAAATAAGCACTCCTCAGAGTCATTTTCCATGGGCTTGTCTGTAAGTACCCAATATGATTAGAACTGTAATGACTAAACTTAAAGTAACTGTGGTTAACAGTTTAGCAATTAATGTAATAGTACAGTACTACTAAACCTCTATTATTAAAATTGGGAACATACACACAAACTTGTAAAAGAATCTAAGAAACCAACTTGGTAGTGTCTTTTTATAACTATTTTAGAAGTCATATATTTGAAGAAGACAAAGACACATAGCATATAAAGGAGTCAGTAGCAGCATCTCAGTATAAACCTTGAATTTTGGTTAGGTAAGTACTGTCAGTACAGTACTGACAATTAAAAATCCTAAATTTTCCACTTTTTAAAGGAAAATAGTATCAGTAATTTCAAATACCCCTGTTTCATGCTCAATTGTATATAATATATATGCATATATATGTAAAATATATTATATATGTATACAATTGCATTTCTCTATCCAATGTCAGATAAACCAATGTTTAGCTGAGGAACAGATGTCAGGTTCAACGGCAGAAATTTTAGTATTTGTCATCAAGAGTAGAAATGTCAAAGACCTTCTTATATAGAATGTACCTTAGATAAAAAACTATAGTAATTTACACGTATACACTTTTAACCCTATAAACAATTTTGTGACATTTAGATACACGTATATGGCACCAGAAGTATTAGACCATTTAAAAGTATTTTTACTTAGCTTAAACTTAGTTCCTTTAGTGTTATCAGAAAAATACCTTAGTTTTTTTTTGTGTCTGGCAAGAAACTAGTTTAAGGAAGATGTCAAGAACAGTGAATAATCTTAAATTTGCAATGAGGAAAACTAGTCATCTTATTTTTGATTAGCAGGATCAAAGCATCTCCTAGTACTTAAGGATCCACCCAAGTGATTATGTTGGCTTCCCCTATGCTGGCTGGTGGAAAGAGAGAGAGGGAAAGGAGAGTGGGAGAGACCATTCATTCCTCTACCCCTGCACAAGGGCTCTGAATGGAGTTCCCTGTGCTGGCTTGTGGAGAGTGAAAGAGGAAAAGGGAAGCAGGACAGATGCTCTTTGGTAGAAAGTGAGATGGAGTCCAATATCTTCAGGTCATCCCCATTATATCTTAGAAGTCTCAGTTGCAGGTCCTCTTGACCTGGCTTGTCTAAACAGGATTCCTGCAGACATCTCTTCCTACCATTCTCCTGAGGGCCAGTCTCTTGCACCCTGGCATGAGAGTTTCTAGTTGGGATGCTGATCCTAAATGTCACCCCAACTATTAAAACATCAGAACTTTTATAACCAGTACAGAATACAAATTGTACTAAGGTAAGCTTGGCTGGTACAAATACCTTAATTGTGCTGAGCTTTCACATCAAGCCACAGGGTTGTAGTCAGCTTATAAACTGAGCAGAATATGGAAACAAGTACATTTTTAAAAAAGATAATAAACAGACAAGATTAATGTCTCAAGTGATTAAATACATAGACAGAGGTAAGGGAGTAAGCATAAACTTAGGAAACCCCATGACTGAGAGTTGTGGCTTGGATATTGATAGGAAATAAACCCCAATATCCCATCCGGAGGGTGAATTTTTGTTTGCTTTTGGTAAAATTTTGTATCTGCTTATAACATCAAAACTCCATTAGTGTTATTTTGATAAAACTGAATCCCATTTTCAAATATACATTTGTATCTTATATTTTAAGCTTACAAAATTTTTAGGCAAACTTTAAATTATAAACTTATACTCTTTAAGACCTTAATTTGTATCTTGAAATGACATTTGTAAAAACCTGTATTTAGTTAACACTGTTTTAAATAAAACTCTTAGTATACTATAT